AATAAAGAAATGTCAGCAATAAATTACCCAGGAGTTTTTTAAACTTTATTTTCTTTAAGCTACGAATAGCCTGTTAGCTATAACCCTATAGATTCCATACCCAGAGATGGACACAGGGTCACCAGAAACATTTTGCATTGTATTTATGGAATGAAAACCTGTTCTCTAAAGGCATAGTCCAGGGGATTAGAGACCAGAACTAAGCTGTGCTATTTGCTCCCAGAGAGACAGCAGGCCAAGCATGCAAAAGAAATGGGTATTACCTAGTTCAGTATTCGGGGAAAGAGGCAGGAGAGGGAACATCAACTGCTTGAAAGAAATTTCAATGGCAATAAAATGTAGGAGAACATGATTGATTTAATGCTTTCAGCCTGACTCCCAGATGAGAATCAATTATCCTGCATCATTTAATCTCCTTAAGCAGGTCATGACACAAACTAGAAATTAGAAGCACTGTATCAAATATGAAGAGCAGCTCTTAATGGTAGTTAGCATCAGCCTCAGATGTTTTAGAGGAAAACATAACTGGGATTTGGGGAGCTCTGAAGAGCTGGCTCCACCAGATTTCAGCAGTCAGATCATAATATTTTAAAAGTGGCTTTGTTCATTGTTTACCTCATGGAGGTGCAGACCAGCTAGAAGAAAAAAAAGATAATAAAAAAATCCCTATGGACAAAATCCAGCCCTCCATCAAGAACGTGACCTTCAGAAACCTTGCACAAACTACTTGCCTGACATATTTCAAAATATCCTCTATCTTCATGGCAAATTTCTTAGGTAAATCAAGCTGCTGCATTTTTTTTTTACATCACTTAAGAAATATCACATCTCCTAACCAGGTACCAGCCTGCTTTTGGAACGGAACCTCATAGAAGAAAGAAAGGTGATGCAGGAGGCAGCTCCATCTGAATCCCCTCCAGGCTGGAAGAGCTGATAATGAAGGTCCTTGTCCCCATTTATACAGATACATATTTTCCTACTGAGCTTTTCAATTACATTTCTTGTGTGAAACTGTTGTCACTATCAAGCACAAGCATGAAAACCGAAGCAGGATAGCTAAAGAAAGATCCTTATTTTGTCAGAGAGTTGTTTTTCCTACATACAGGGAGAAAACTAGGGCACAGAATGCAAGCATTATGATCAACTGTCAAGAGAGGCTAAAATTATCCAGGATTATACAAATATAAGCAGGTTTTTTTTTGTTTATTTCCTGTTACCAAAAACAATTCAGTGTTGAAGACAAATAGAGGGGTTTGGGGTGGTGGGGTTTGGGTGTTTTGTGGGGTTTTTTTGCAAAAGCTCTGTGATGAGGCCGATGTACTTTTAAGAAGCAAACTCAACACATATATTCTGAATATTCTTTCATGGACCTTGGAAGTGTGCATTTAAACTTTGTAATCAGAGTAAAAATCCATATAGAAACTGGCTGAAGCAGTGATTTCTAATCAAAGTCAGATGAGGAACCAGCCTTATTATTTGCAGTACCTGTATCAGTGGCTGTCAGTATTCTTTCTTCCAAGTAAGCAGATGCCAAAGGATGTAAGAAAAAAAGTCTTCTGCATTTCTCACGTTGCTCTGTGTACTTCCACACTCTCTCACCGCTTTTCCCCTAGCTTTGCTCTTTTACCCAGACTGCCCCAAAGCAATGGCCTCTTCCCAACCTGCTGACCTGTCATCTGGAATGGGGATTTCTGGATCAAGGGATAGACCACCTCGTATCTTACAGCAGAAATGATGGGTTCATGTGGGGAGCACGTACAACAAAGGCAACTGTAATTTAAAGGTTGACCTGTGCCACCTATTTTTACACCAAAGTACTCAGGAAACATGCTATTGATTATTTTTGTTCTAAATGCCATGAAGAAGCAGCTATGATAGCAGTTTGTTCAATATGTACTTAACACTGCAATTTTATGACTCTGACGCATATAGTACTCACTAAAACACCTCTATACTGGGGCTGTTGCTGGCAGCACAAGGACATAAGGTACTGAAAAGCAAAGATTTGAGACCCGATAAAGTGATTCCTTCATTTTCCACACTGTCTTTTCAGCTGATCTCAAAGAAGAAAGCTTTAAAAAACATTTCAGACTATAAGCACCAGACCTGAAGCCTTGCCAAAAGCTTTCTTGTGTCATTGCATTGCATATCAAGAATTTTCAAATAAAATGAGCTCTGAAGGCTGCTTCTGTACCTACAGAAGGCAGCAACTCCCACTGTAGTTGCTAGGTCATGGCTGTGAATGACAGGCTGCAGTTCTAAAAACCATCAGTACATATTTTCCCACATAACCACAAAACAAGAAGAAACGTGTGAAGCAGGCTGTAAGCTGCAGGAGGAAAGTGTTCTGGTTTGAACCCTCTCCACTTTTTCCAAGAGCTGTGTTTTACAGACAAGGGAAATACACCTTGCACTTCACACACAAGTCAGCCAAAAGTGTTGCAGAGTGCCACTGAAATGTCAGTATTCCTCCCTCCTTCAGAGGCCAGGCCTGCCTCTGCTCTTCTGCAGACAGCGAGCTGTCTCCTGCTGGCACTGCAGCACCATGCCCCGGGGATGAACGGTGCAGATAAAAATCGAGATTAAGACAAGCAATGCTATTTCTACCTAAGAAATCCCTGCAAATTCACAGAAGGACATAAAGATACCAAATGGTAATAAAGTTGAAGTGGCTTCTCCAATCTGCTGCTGATTCTGCACTTTTGAAAATTGGTTTTCAGTTCAATTTCAGAAACTTAAGAGCTACCAAGAGAAGCACTAAACAGAAACCATCCACTCATCTGGCATAAACCTACACACATCACCAAACAAAGCATCTTGGTCTTGCAGCTTTAATATTCTGATGGCTTTAACAAGTTAGCTACACATTCACCAGAGTTATTTTTATGAAATGCTTTAAAAATCCAAGCAGAAGATAACTCATATGCACATTTCACAGCATTCACTGACTCCCAATTCCTATTTAACACAAAGGTAACTATAGTTAGCCCTTACTGAAGGCACATACTGGCACACCATTATTTAAGCTTTACTTTTTATAATTTGGTCAGTAATCTGGGCCAAGTTTTATTTCATGCTTTTATGCTCTCATTCCCCAGCCAGATGTTCGGAGAACATGCTAAACATTGTAAACATCCATCTAAAGCCCTGACAGACCCAATGAAAGTTTCAGTTTTGCTCTTCCCAGCAGCACACACACAGTATTTCCCCTTTGGTTGGTAGGGTATCTGTCAGTTCCCACATCCTAGGCAAGATCACCTTAATGGTCAATTTCACATCCTATTAGCCCTCCTTGGCCTAGGCTCCCCATATAGTCCATGGAGAAAGACAGGAAACCCTATTTGATAAGGCATTTACCCCAATACAATGTAAACAATATACACGCGATGAGTTTCCCGCAGCTGCCTAGCGCTCTGCTGACTGTAGGGG